GGCCACGAGGGCGACAGACGGCTCGGCGGGCATCCGGTGGCTCCTGCCGCCCCAGTGCACCTCCACCCAGCGGCGACCGATGGGACACTGCGCGGCGATGACGAAGCAGGGCTCAGGAAGACCTCGCAGCACCCTGGCCGCCTGGCCGACCTGGGCGTGGTTGTTGCGGCCCCGCTCCCCGGAGCCGTGGAGGAAGACCACCACGGGACATGGAGAGTCGGAGCTCTTGGGGCGGTAGAGCCTCCACACAACAGAGACCTCTGACCCCGCCTCGCCCCAGCAGCCGCCGCCGCCGGGCCCGCCGGGGCCGCCGAGCGGGCCCGGCACGTCGGCCCTGCCGGTTATGGGCGGCTGCTCCTCGAAGCCTTGGAGGCTGAACTGGTGGCTCGGGCCGTCCTGCCGGGAGGTGCACTTGGCCCCGTGCCCGCCGCGCCCGTCCCGGCAGACGTCGCAGCAATACCCGTGGCCCAAGCTCTGGTGGCGCAGCAGCTCGCAGCCCTCCCGTGCACACCTGGGCGCCGACGCCCACGCGTCTGCGCAGACCACGTCCGGAGCGACCGCGACCCTCGCAGAGAAGCACGCAGCCCCGTGCTCCCCTGTGCCCCGCATGCACTTGACGCAGCAATAGCTGGCCCCCTCGCCCTGCACCGGCAAAGGACACCCTACCGTCCGGCACAGCACGACCCGCGCGCCCTCGCCGGCAGCTTCCGACTCCGCTGCCTCCGAGCCGGCGCCAGCGCCCTGGGCGCAGTGGTAGAAGAAGCAGCCGCGGCCCTGCCTTTTGGACGCCCGAAATGGGTACCGAAAAAATGGGTACTATGCCCAACAGCAAATGTTGTCCCAAACCAACAGCGGCCGCTGTTGGGCAGGCGGCCTCCTGTCTCAAATGGACACAGGCCGCGGCGGCGCGGACAGCGAATCCGGTTCAAAATGAACAGGAATTGTTGTTGGGCATCGTACCCATTCTTTCAGTACCCATTTCGGGCGTGCAGATGCCTGCAGTGGCCGCGCGCGGACCAGTGCTTGCAGGCCGGCCGCGCCAGGGGCCCTCCCACCGCCTTCGCGCACTCGAGGTGGGCCAGGGCGGGTCCCTCGCCGCCGCGCTCGCCAGGCCAGGCCAGCTCCCCCGCGGAGACCACCAGGCCGCACCTCGAACAAGCCAATCGTCGTCGTCGTCGCGTTTCCTCCTCCTCCTCCTCCTCCTCCCTCCTCCTCCTCCCTCCTCCTCCTCCTCCTCCCTCCTCCTCCGTCGTCGTCCACCCAGTCCCCCGTCGTCGCGTTTTTTTCGCAACGTCGACCCCCAGAGGTCCGGAACCCTTCCACGGGACTGGCTCCTCGTCCCGAGTCTATTCTTACAGTCTTACAGGTCCCGAAGCCCCGGCAAAGGGCCCCCACAGAGGCCGACAATAGCGGAAAGCCTTCCGTCGTGATTGCTCGAAGCGCGAGGGGTCTGGGCACCAGCCCGCACCTCGAGCACTGCACGCCGCGGCGGCACCGCATGCGGCGCCGCGCCTCTTGGCGGCCGCGGCGCGGGCGCCTCCCGCGCGGCAGCCCCGCCGCCGGGCAGTGGCGGCGCCTGTGGCGCACGGCGGCTGCCGCGCCCGCCACGGGCGCGCGGCAGCTGGAGCCGACGCCGCCATCTGGCTCGGCAACCACGTGCGAGCCCTACCCCTGCAGTGCGACAAAGGACAAAGCCAGAACGAGGATCGAAGCGGGTGGGGATAGATCGAGAATCTCTGAGATCCGGCGGCTCTGGAGGATGTCTCGGGCACCACGGCCGTTCCGGAACGCATTGAGAGCATTCCAGAACGCTCTGCAACGGAGTTATCCTCGTCCTAGCCCCGTCCGGTGCAGGCCAGATCTTGGCCAAAATGGCTACGGGACGCGCCCTGAGAAGGCGTCTGAAGAAGGCCGAATGGGGTCCCAGGAAGGGGCCCCAGAGTGGCGTCAAGATGGCGCCAAGAGGTGCTCTAAGGAGGCTTGAGTTGAAGAGGTCCCCAAAAACAAAAAACTAAACAAAGAAAAGAAAAGAAAAAAAAACAATATAAAAACAAAAAAAAAAAAAAAAAAAAAAAAAAAACAATAAAAAAAAAATAAAAAAACAAAAAAGAGGTCCCCAAAACGTCAAGCCGGCCCAGGATGAAATCCGCGGAGGCTCCCAATGGGCTGGAACGGAGCAACATGTGGCGGCGCAACATGGCTTCAAGAGCGGCGCTCGCTAGAGCGCTTCAACATGGCCGCTATGTTGCGTCAAAATGGGCTCGAAAGGAGGGACAAGGGGATCCCGAGAGAGGCCCCATTGGAGTTCCAAGAGGGCCATACACACAATGCAGAAAGGGGAGCCAGCGAAGCTCCACAATGGCTCAATGAGGTTCCAAGAGGGGGCGCTGGAAGGCTCCCAGGGGGCCAAGCGAGAGCCCGAGGGAGTTGCAAGACGACTCAGAAGAGTTGCGAATGGCGTCCCAAGAGGGCTCCCAGAGGTGCTTGGGGAAGGTCACAAGAGGCGGTGCGATGAGGTCAAGATAACTCACAAGCGCGGCCTAAACAAAACCTCGACAGGCCAGAAAAAGGTCCGGGTTCAGTCGTGTCTGGTGGAAGAACTTCCCACACACCCCTCGGGCGGGGGTTCTTTGTTCAACTGGAGTCTCGGAACTGCCAGTGTACTATCTTCAGGGCGTCTCAGAGGTCTGCTGTGAGCGTGTCGGACGCCTCTGGGACCGCGTTGGGGGCGTGTTGGGCCCCGTGTTCCTCGAGGTAATCCCCTCCAATTCGCTGCTATCGGTGCCTTCTTCCGTCGCTGCCGTCGTCGTCGTCGTCGTCGTCGTCGTCCTGTTGCTGCTCCTCCTCCTCCTCCTCCTCCTCCTCCTCCTCCTCCTCCTCCTCCTCCTCCTCCTCCCCCTTTTCCTCCACAGCCCCTCCTCCTCCGCATCATCCTTCTCCACAACCCCTCCTCCTCCTCTTCCTCCTCCTTCTCCTCCTTCTTCTTCTTCTTCTTCTTCTTCTTCTTCTTCTTCTTCTTCTTCTTCTCGTGTTCCCTTCCTCCGACGCCTCCTTCTCGTCGTCGCCCAAAGCGCCCTCGACAAGCACGGCCCATGGGATGTCCATAAAGGAAAGTCGCAGCGTTTTCTCTGGGTTTTGTGGAGTCTCTTAGGGGTTCTGGTGGTTTTCGAAACTTGTCAAACATATCCACACTGCATGATGCAAGACATACTGTGCACCCGCTTCCCCCCGCCACCGTCTGAGTCGGTGACGAAGGTCTAAGCAGTTGATTGCGCACCTCCCTTCGGTCTAGGACTGAGCGTGCCCACTTTCTCGGGCACCCATGGTTCTGTCCGTCTCCAGCGGTTCGGCGTGTGGTTGGCTATCCTCATCAGGACCTGCCACAACCAACCACACTGGGCAGGCCGACGCTGTCACGAACGACACCTCTGTGTCCGACTGCGTGGAACATCAACATGTGCATCACCTAAACCGCCAGAATATGTGTTTGGCCTTCAAGGAAGTGAGGAAACAACTGTTGCTTAACGTCTCTTGGGAGCCTCTTGTAAACTTTTGGGGGGGCCTTGTGGGGCCTATGTGGGTGTCTTTGAGCCTCTTGGGAACTCTTGGGGGTCTCGTGGAATTTGTTTAGGCGCCCCGTGGGGGCCTCCTCGATGCTTGTTTGGAACTCTGGGTGGCCTCCGCGGGCTTCTTGCGGGCTTCTTGGGGGGCTTGGGGAGCTTGTCCCCTCCGCCCATCTCGGCACGCCCTCCACGCGGTTCGTGCGCCGCAGAGAACTCCACGCATGGGCGAACTGGGAGACTTAGCATAGTGTCTCCCCGAAAGTTTAGAGTCATACATGCAGGAATACATCCATTCGCACGCACATGAATACAACACCTAATCAATGCCTGTGCCTCGGGACGTGGGAAAACGTGGCTTGGATGCCTCTTGGAATGTCGCGGAATGCTTAGCAGGGGCCTCATGGAGGCCTTTTCGGGGGGGATCGTCCTGATGGACTCCGGGAGCTTGTAGCCCTCTAGGGACCCTCTTGGGGCTCTCTTCGGCCGTCCTGGGCTCTTGAGTGCCGTCTTGGGGCCCTCTCGGGGCGCTCTTCGGGTCCTTTTGGGCCGGCTTGGGGCCACGTGGGAAACTCATGTGGGTGTCTTGGGCTCGGAGAGGCCTAGGAAAGGAAGAACGCGATAACCTTTCAAATTCAAGCTCTTTAGGGCCTCCTTGAGCATCGTGGGGTCTTCAGCGCTTCCCAGGGGCTTCCTGGGGTATCCTGGGAGCTCTTGGGGCTTCTTGGGAGCTTTTTTTTTTTTTTTCCTCCAACGTGTCATGCTCAAAGGCAGGCTCAGCCCGAGAGTGGATAAGAATTGTGCTCGCCCGCCCCACCCACTCCCCGCCCAGCTCCCATGTCATCCCGCCGAGTCCTACAAGACGATGCCATGCCTGGAACGCCTCATGGGGATGCGCGTCGTCGTCCGACGGCAAAACAGCTCGGTGACCCGCCTTCGGAGAGCCGAGGGTGCTTTGGCCTCTACGCACTCTCTCTTCAGAAACGGCATGTACTATATGCTCTGGGCAGCGGCATCCGCAAGTGAAACAACGAAAGATCTGGACTCCCCACCTGCAGTGCCCCAAACGACCCCCACCCATTCCGAGGCCAATAGAGTAGGCGCGCCGTGGACGCTCCTCGCGCTGCCCCACTCTGCCCCGCACCACGGGCAACGGCAAACAGCGCAGGGGGAGGACTAGCTTCCGCACGAGCTGAGCTCGATTGCGGGGTATGCTGCAGAACGCAAACGTTGGCTCCCGACGTCTCTGCCTCAAAAGGTAGTCCGAGGAAAACGCCGTCGTACCGACGCAGTCTCTCCTCCAACCGATCCAGGCCCCCCGACCCACGACTGGAACAGCAACTGCAACAGCCACAGTCACGAACACTCAAGGACCCTCCCCACCAAATCCGCCCCCACCTCCGCCAGGGATCCGATCGGGATCGCCAGCGCAGGTACCAAATGAACAACGCCGGGCAGCCGCTGGGCAGCGAGAAGGAGCAGGGGCGAGGAGGAGGAGCGCGAGAGGGCGGCAGAGATGTGTACAGAGCAGCGGGGACTCCGCGAGGGGGGCGGGCATGCACTGCCGCTGCGGAGCACTCCGGGCTGGACGGCCGCGAGAAAACCGAGCATGTGCAGGTGCAGTCAATGCAACAGTGTTTGTCCCTGGCTGTGGCTGAGATCGGAGGCGAAAATGCCCGGTTTGCCTCCTTTGTGAATCGATCCGCGATCGGGAGCGCCAAATTTGACTTCGTCTCGGCAATGGGACGAAGGCGTCCTGCGCAGAGCAACTGAAGTACAATAAACTATGCACGTGCTGGTCGTCAAAAAATGCGGCGCTGCAGCCCCCGTGAAACGTCCGGCCTGAGTAGGCACACCACATTCATGAAGTACGAATGCTTTGGATTTACATCAAGACCCCAGGCAACGCGTGATCTCTGACTCTCACAGCAGAGAACACACCGCACCCGTCCTCACGAGAAGGTAACGAATGCGCCAGGGGATCAAAGAAAGCCACACGATCTGCTCTCGGCAGGAGAACCCGCCAATGCCCTCCCATGAGGCCGAAAAAAGCAGAAACGCGAGGAGGGTAGCGGTATCGATACCGTTCCCTTCTCTGGCCCAAAATTTGTGCTAGAAAAGATGATCACAAGAGCAGCAGGAAGCTTTGACCGCAATGCCTCTAAATACGTTGGGGATTTACAGCAATAATGCGGTCGAGGGAACATCAGGCGAAAGACAGAGAGGGAGAGAGATAGAAAGAGAGATATAGAGAGAGAGAGCATACTCCATTCATGCAGTAAGAAATGTTATTGAAGCGTATCGCGATTCCAATCATGACCAACTGTCGGTTCTGGCAACTGATGTGCGAAATATCGAACAAACGGCCCAGTAGAGCAAAATCCGCGCCCATCCTCATGATGAGGAAGCGGCAGCGCTGGAGGAGCGACAACAACCATTACTCGTTCATGGGACTCTACTCGACAACTGAACTCTACCTCCGTGGAATGTACCGCCGTGGAACATCCTCCCCTTGGTGGAGAGGCTGCCTTCGGTCACGCGGACGGAGCTCGACTCCGGAACTGCAAGTGTGGGCCCCACGCCACCGGAAGCAAACGGCCTTGACTGCGTGCCCCCAGCTCCTCTTCGACGACAGCCCTGCTCCGCGAAGGCTCGTCGAAGGTCTGCCCAGACCCGCTGCAAAGAGGCTGGGGCGAAGGGGTGAAGGGCCAGGCTGCACGCCGCTTCACTCAATTCCTGAGCAGGGCCCAACGGAGGAGAACCGTATTCGCACCGGTCTTCATGAAACGCAAGCCGCAGCAGCGCTGGATACCCGAAGCGGATGAAACTCAATACCGACACCGAGCCACGCAGCACACGGCCCGGCGACTGAAGACCCCCTCCCAAAATCAGCCAGCAACGGTAAGATCGAAGTGTGCCCTCCCTCCCCAAGTCTCCCTCCCCTCGGAGCCGCGCGCTTCTAGCCGCAGCCTGGGCGCTGCCTCGGCTCCTCCTCCGCGACGGCCTGCGCCGGGACGCACGGCCCTGCCTGCCGCGGGCCCTGCTGCCGGTCCCTGGCCCTCAGGATGCTGAGCATGTACGGGCTCGTGCGCAGGCTGCCCTCGTCGGCCAGCTCCCACGCGGCGGCCGCGTCGCCCTCGCCTGTCCTGTCCAGCATCGCGACCAGCTGCCTGCAGCGCAGCCTCTCGGCCTTGCTCGGCCGCGACCTGCGCTGGGTCGCGTGCGGCAGGTGGCAGAAGCTGCAGGCGTGGCCGTTCGCGCAGCCCGCCTTCATGCTGTGGTAGAGGCACGGCTTGCACGTCCCCGCGGCGTGCGCAGCCTCGCTGTCCTTCCGCCGCTCGGCGCCCTCCTGCCCGACGCCCTCGTGCTCCTCGGCACGCCCCGCCGGGTGGCCCTCGGGCGCGGCGCTGCCGGGCATCCGGGCAGAGCTTCCGCTGCTCCCGAACCGGCTGTACTGCCTGCCGCTGCCGAGCCCGCACCCGATGCTCCTGTTCTGGCTGCTGTCGCTGGAACCCTCCGCCCAGCTGTCGCTGCACTGGCTCTCGCTGTCGCTGCAGAGGAAGCGCCGCACAGGCTCCTGCGCTGGCTGCTGCCACTGCACAGGTTGAGAGCCTCGCGTGTCTGAGAGACTGTCTGAGTTGACCGAGACGTAGTCCGAGAGCGAGTCGACGCTGGCGGAGCTCCCGCAGTAGCTCACGACAGCAGCATCGCCGCCCATGCTCGCCGCCGTCCCCGCCGCGCCGACGCGCGGCCCCGGAGGAGAGGCACCCGCCCGCGCGGGGCACCTGGCGGCGGCGCTGCCCGGGCCGCCGAGGCCGCTGCCGCGCCAGGCCTCGGCGCCCGCCGCCTCCAGCGAGCAGCCCTGGGCCACGGCCAGGCCTGCGTGCACACCTGGCTCGGGGCGCTCCTCGGCGCCCTCGCGGATGGGGGCGCAGACGGCCGGCCTCGCTCCGTCGCCCTGACGGGGGGCGAGCACATCGTCGCTGTCGCTGTGCCCGCCGCGCATTAGATTTAAACAGTGGTCCCGCGCCACGAGCTCCCGCCACGGGGGGCGGCAGCGTGGGCGAGCAGCCCAAACCGACCCTGGCGGCCGCACGCTTTGGGGCTGCTCCCGGCTTGAGCCAAAATGGCTACGGAGGGGCTTCTTGGGAGTATCTTGGGGGCCTCTTGTGGGCATCTTGGGGGCCCGTGATTGCGTGTTCGGGGGCTCTCTGGGGTCGGGGAGCAGGAAATATCAGTTGGAATCCTCCATTTGGGGCCTCTCTTGGGGCCCTCGGGGAGCCCGTTTGGGCCATCTTGGGCGTGCTTGGGGAAATCTTGTGGTCATTGTTGGCCGTCTGAGGGTCCTCGCAGGGGCCTCGTAGGCCGTCTACTAGTAGGTGCGGTGCAGGGGGCCTCTGGGGCTGTCGTGTTTGCTGTGAAAACCCCTGTAGCGGATATGCTACACACTATACCTTTTTTTCACAAACCATCCTGTGGTGTTGGGTCCTCATTTTCAAGTTCAAGGGACAGCACCCCGCGTCCCTATCCTCTCCTCTCTTCCCATCCTTTCTCTTTCCTTCCTCCCTCCGCATGTTTCTGTTTTGGCACAACTCCTCACTCGTTTCGTGGCCCCATAAGGAGCTCCACAGAAAGCCCCAGTGGCACAGTCCGCATGGCGTACCTGCACCCGATTCGGCACACCCCTCAACGGTTTCGTGGCCCCATATGGAGCTCCGCGGAAGGACTCGTGGCATTGTCCGCGTGGCGTAATCGCGCCCGATTCGGCACACTCCTCGCACGTTCCGTGGCCCCATAGAGGCTCCACCGAAGGCCGCAGTGGCACAGTCCACATGGCGTACTCGCACTCGATTCGGCATATATCTCACACACTTCGTAGCCCCATAGGGAGCTTCACAGTAGGCCGCAGTGGCACAGTCCAACACCTCACACGTTTCGTGGCCCCACAATGCCGCAATCCGAGTGGCGTACCCGCATCCGAGTCGGCACACCCCTCAAACGTTTCGTGGCCCCATGGGGAGCTCCACCGAAGGCTCGAGCGGCACACTCCGCATGGCGCACCCGCACCCGAATCGGCACACACCTCACACGCTTCGTGGCTCTTTAGGGAGCTCTAGTGCAGGCCCCTGGTAGCGCCCGCATGGGGGCCCCGCCCCATTTCGGCACATCCCTCACACGATTCATGGCCCCAAGGGGATATCCACCGAAGGCGATACCCATAACGGCGGTACTCACGACTGCATATGGTTGGGTATTTGGCCAGCATATTCCGGAAAGGAGCGGGACGATTGTTGCACCTCGGCGTTCTCTGGGGCCTCCCGAGGGCCTTTTTGGGCCTGTTGAGGGCATGTTGGCGGCCTCGGGGGTCATCGTTGGGCGGAGGGCTCGACACGGCAGCTCGGGTGCCACCTCTGGGGCCCATTTGGGCGCCCTCTTGTGGCCCCCTTTGGGCGTGTTCAGGGCTTCTTGGTCCGTGTTGAGGCCATCTTGAGCCGTCTAAGGGCCCTTCTTGAAGCTTCTCGGAGCGATGTTTGGAAATCTCCTGTCGGATCGTCAAGGACCGTGTTGAATCCAAAAAGGCGGATGAGTTTTCCGAAGGGATGGGGCGATGCTTGTTTCTCGGGGCTCTCTTCGGGGTCCTCTTGAAGTGGTCTTCAAGCGTCGTGGACGCCTCCCCTTCTGGAGCCGCGTTGACGGCGGTCTGGGGTCGATCAGGTGAATATGCCTTGTATGTGGGCCAGGGGCCTTTATCGTCGTATCTTGGGATCTGTCTGGGCGTCGTCTCTGGAGACCTGGCCAGTTGGGGGTCACTTGGGGGACTCATGGAGGTTTCCTGGGGCCCTTGGGGCCTCTCTGGGGCTTGGGCCTTGCGGGGGCCTCTTGGATCCTGTCGGAGCCCTGTGGGGGATCTCGGTGGTCATCTGTAAGCAGATTGCCGGAAATGGCAGCTCGGGTTCGCCCGCTTGGGCTCATCTTGGGGCTCTCTCTGAGCGTGTTCGGGGTTTCTTGGTCCGTCTTGGAGCCCTCTTGAGCCGTCTAGGGGCCCTCTTTGGGGCCCCTTGGGGGTTCTCTTGCCGATTTTTGGAAGGGTCGTCTTCGACCGTGTTGAAACCAGAATAGCGAAGATGTTGTTTCTCGGGGTCCTCTGGAGGGTCCTCTTGGAGCGGTCTGGAAGCGTCGTGGGCACCTCTTGGCCCATCCGAGATGCATCTTAGGCCGTCGGAAGCCCCTGGAAGGCATCGCGGGGGTGACTCGGGCCCGTCTTGGGCCCGCCGCCGTGACCTGCCCAGTGGCTCTCATAATCGATGTGGCACCCCCGAAGGGCGGGCGCCTGGTCCACACATTTGCGGCCGAGGTCGCGGCCCCGGGGCCCCCGGGTCAGGCCCTCCGCCAGGCGCGGTGCGTGGTCCTGGAGGTATGGGCGGGAAAGGAACTGGGGGTCAGCACGCCAGCAAAAAAGGCTGCGACGATGGGGGGCTGCGTGGGAAAGAGAGAGAGAGAGAGGGAGAGTGCTAAGGAAGGAAGCGGTGCACTCCTCCGCCACCCCCTCCCCCTCCTGTTTTCGACCTCCGCCTCCTCGTGCAATTCCTCCTCATACTCTTCCTCGGTGTCCACACAAGGGGAATCGAGGAGGCATGTGGAAGGCTCTTGGAGTTGTCGTCGTCGTCGTCGTCGTCGTCGTCGTCGTCGTCGTCGTCGTCGTCGTCGTCTTCGTCGTCGTCGTCGTCAACGTCGTCGTCGTCGTCGCCGTCGCCATCGTCGTCGTCATCTTC